TGGGATGATGTCTGTAAAGTTTATAACCATTATTATGGAATATGTACATGATTTTCTTCTTCTAGGGAACACGGTGGCTCTTGCATCAGTGAATGGACCTGGAGATACAAAGAAATCCAACCGTCTGTATAACAGATCACATCTAGATGTCTGTTATAGTCCATGTACAGGTCAACCAAGTAAGTTTATCTTCTTTCTTCTTTTATAGGATTTTAGACTTTTTATGTCTATATTTCTTGGATCTTATTTTTTGGAATCTTCTTTCAGTTGTTTTAATGTTTTCTTGTGTTATATATTAATTTAATCTTTGTTTCATATGATATTTATTATTCATGATCTTTGTAAGAAGATTTTTATGTACCTTAGTATGTAGTACTTCTTAGCAGGAGGTTGATTTTTCCCTGTTATAAGTAGAGGAATATTTGGATTAGTTATTTTTATTTTTTTTAATGCCTCTAATAATTTAGTTCTGTCAGAATGGAACATTGGGCATTGTAGTGTTAAGTGCTCAGTTGTTTCTGCTGGTTAGAGCTTCTCTTCTTGCTCCCCAGTTATGTGAGGATAGTTTTTTCATTATATTTATTCTGTTAATCCATTGCAGCTGGGGAAAATGAACAAAAAATGGGGAAAATGCTGTGCCTATTTTCTATATTTTTTGTGAAATGTCTGCCCATAGATGGCTCTGTTAGTGCCTGATTTGAGATGGCGGGAAAAACGTATTTTTCACTAGTCATGAATATCAATGGTGTTATTTTTATTATAAACATTATAATTGTTATAATGTTTTTTTTACATTAGTAACAGCAAAATAAGATAATAAAATATTTCGTAAATCAAAGAAAAGGGTGAGCGGGTGAGGCAGGTACTCGTAACTGGCTCATTGGTGATTTAGTATAAGTGTAGCCATCTGTGTGCAAAAACAATCAAACAAGTAATCTCACAGTGGACATGGCTTGGCATGCCCGTCGGCAATGGGTTAAGAGATTTTACTTTGTTTTCTATGTGTTTTGTCCAATTTAGTTTTTGTGAATCAAATCTTAATCACAGGATATCTTGGATATTGGTGGATTCTAGTTCTTTATTTTCTATTTTGATCTTTGGTAACTGTGCTCTTCTTTTGTTTGTGAAAAATTATAGCAGTGTACTTCTTGTTAGATTTATCTTTAAATCCCAGGTGTCTGCCCATTCTATTGTTTGTGGAGTTATTTAGGTGTTTACTTGTGGTTATTATTGTTATATCATCTGTGTATATTATTTTTTTCAGTTCTTCTGATAATTTTAGATCATTTATCATGATGTTGAAGAGTGTTGGGCTTAATGGAGAACCTTGTGGAACACCACTCGATAGTTTTTTTTTTTTTCTTTTACTGAATTTTTATTTCCTATTTTTATATGGAATGTTGTCTTTTAAAAAAATTATGTATTCAATTTGATATATTTCCTTTTATTCATAGGTTAACCATTTTTATTATTAGTGCATACTGATTTACTGTATCGAATGCCTTTTCTAAGTCTATGCATGCAATAAGAGTATATGTTTTGTTTTGATAGCATTAATTATGTTAATTTCAATCATTTGCAGTATATCCATTGTTATGCAATTTGGTCTAAAACCTATTATAACAATGTTTAGTTTATTGTTTGTTTCAAGCTTCCATATAAAATTTTTTGTTATTATGTTTTCAAATATTTTTTCTAGACAGTTTACTTGACTGATGAATCTGAATGATTTTAATTCTGATGGATTTTTTCCTGGTGTTTGGATAGGATTTATTATTGCATTTTGGAAATCCTGTGGGTAATCTCCTTTGGTCCAATCAGAATTTGATTATTTTATTATTATCTCTATAAGATTTTTGGGGGAGAATTTTTTGTAAAATTCATATGGAATTTCATCAGGTTTTTTTTTAGTGATCTTATCATTTAATTCTATTTTACTGGTGTTGTTTAGAATTAGCATTTTTTGTTTGCTATTTTTTAGTATTCTGCTTTGAATAGTTGCAGTTTCTTTTTTATTTCAGTGATTGGTTGGTAATTGTCAATTAAAGGGTAATTATTTTGTGTTCTCTTTCCCATTAACTTAATAAAATTAATGATTTTTTTGTTGGGGTGTTAAAATCTATTGAAGTGCAGAATTTTTCTCAGGTCTCTCTTTCTCTTTCTCTATAATTTGTTTAGCTTCAGCTAATAGTTTTTATATTCTCCTAGATTTTCATCATTTGGCCTTTTTTCCCATTTATTATAAATTTTTTATTTTGCATTCCACCATGCTTTATTGGGTTTGATTTTTTTTTTTTTTTTATCATATTCAGATTTGGAATGTTTTTTTTTCCTGTGTTTTTTTAAGGCCTTTCAATTCCTTTCATGAATTTAGATTTTTTGTATCTCTATTGTTTAATTCTTTTTGATATTTTATCCATCCTTCAGTATTGAACTTCCTTTTTTTCTTCTTTTAACCCATTGGTGCCAGGTATGACTTGTACGTACGTGCTATGCCCGCCGTGAGAACTTGTTTGATTGTTTTTACAAATAGATGGCAACACTTGTACTAAATCACCAATGAGCCAACTACGAGCACTGCCCGTCTCGCCCGTTTACCCGTTTCTTTGATTTACGAAATATTTTACGTTATCTTATTTTGCTGTTACTAATGTTAAAAAACATTATAAAAATTATAATGTTTATGATAAAAATAACACCATCGATTTTCATAGCACTAGTGAAAAATACGTTTTTCCCGCCATTTCATATCAGGCGCTAGCAGAGCCATCTATCGGCAGACATTTCACGAAAACATTTTCCCCATTTTTTGTTCATTTTCCCCGGCACCATTGGGTTAATTGAGGAGACTTGTATGGTGTTATCTGATACTATTACTGGTAAGTGGTCATTTCCTAGGTTGGATCCTGCATCAATTTCTAAGCGACTCACAGTTGGAGAAGCTAGCATTAGGTCTGATGTTGACTTCTTTGCATTTCTTGGGTCAATTTTGGTGCTCTGGCCGGGGAAAGTTAATAATATACATATTGTATATTATCTTGTATGCAAATAGCTAGTCCTCCTATGATTTTATAATTTGTTAAGTTGAAAGTGTCTCTATTTTTCAGCCAAGTTTCGCATAATTCGGGTATGTCTGGTTGTTCTTTTTTTAACAGATGATTTAGATCTGTCTTTTTATTAAGAACTGATCTTGCATTCCTTGAAATAATCTTATTCATAGAGTATTGTCATGATTTTTTTAAATATTGGGATTATTTCTTTTATTGCTTCAGCTGTTGGTTTTATAATTGTTTTTTTTTCAGAGCTTATATTGTTTATAATATGTTTTGGTGTTGTTATTGTATTTTTTATTATTTCTGTCCACAAGAAGTTGTCTTTATTTTTATTTTGAATTTCTTTCTGTGATTGTTGTTTACCGTTATCTTTCCTGATAAAGTTCTGGGTAGATTCATTCATTTTTTGTGGGTTCTCTTTTTTGGTGTGAGAAATATCTGATTTTGATTTGAGTCGAGTATTTTTTTCTTTTACTAGGGTTCTCTGCCCTGCTGTTAGGCTCGGAGGTTGATTTATGGTTTGGGCATATATTCGAGTTGTGTTGGTTTCTGTTGGTTGAGTGTGTGAGGGTGCCTTTGTATTTTCATTGTTTGTGTGTATTGTTATGTTGTGGTTTAATGTTGTGGGGTTTGTGCGTGGTTTATGTTGGAATTGTTGTGGTTTTGTTTGGGTTTTAAGTCATTTTTAAGCCATTTTTTGTGTTTTCTTTATCTTTGTTAATTTTATTTAGTTTAGTCACTAATATTATTTCACTGTTGTAACCCATAGGTGGTCTTAATTTGTCTTTTAATTCTTTAGGGTCTATTTCAATTTCTACTGGATATATAGTACCATATGAACAATTTATATTTTTATTTAAGGCAGGCTGTTTGCAATTTTATGTTCCAGTCCCCTAGCTTAGTGATCTGGTTAAAGGGTGGTAATTTTGACAAATTCTTGACTTCAAATCGTATAGCTTTTACCATTCCAAACACTTTTAGTGTGTCCTCTACTATGTACTTTAGATATACTGATTTATTTAGGGTATCTATTAACTATTTGGGTTATTAACCCAAATCTGACGGGTATGGCATTTACGTGCATGCCATACCCACAGTGAGTTTACTTTATTAATTGTTTTTACGCACAGATGGCTACACTTGTACTAGGTCACCAATGAGTCAATTATGAATACTACCTATATCACCTGTTTACCCTTATCCTTGATTTTTTTAAATATCTTACATTATCTTATATTGCTGTTACTAATGTCTATAACATTATTGTAATTATAATGTCTTTAATGAGATAAGGTAAGGTCATAAGGTCTACTAATTGACTCCTTTTTGGCTAAGCACTAACAGAGCCATCGATGTGCAGAGACATTTCACAAAAAAATTAAAAATGAGTACAGCATTTTCACAGCAGCATTGATTTTCCTATTAAGTTAACCCATTGCATAAAATAGGGAAAATGCTGTACTCATTTTTTATATTTTTGTGAAATATCTCTGTACATAGATGGCTCTGCTAGTCCTGATTTCACCTTTCCTTAAATTGGCGGGAAAAAACGTATTCTTACTAGTGTTATAAATATAGATGGTGTTATTTTTAACAGCAAATTAGGATAACGCTAAATATTTTTGTAAATCGATGAAAAGGGTGAACGGGTGAGACAGGCAGTACTCGTAATTGGCTCACTGGTGACTTCGTACAAGTGTAGCTATCTATGTGTAAAAACAATCAAACAAGTTGACTCACAGTGGGCATGGCATGTACGTACATGCCATCCCCGGCGGCAATGGGTTAACACTTAGCTGCCGGGTGGCATGCACATACAAGCCATGGCATGCATAGACTATGTGCGTAGACATGCATGCTAGGGTGACAACATGAGCCCCTGACAGCAAAGCCCGGACCACAACCTGGGAGAGAGGTCTTACATATCAGGAAATCATCTAGTGGCATTGGTACATTAGTACTACATGGTTATCTTGCCTGATTGTTGTGCTCTCTGTCATGGGTTGTTTCTGTCGGCTTCGGGTCTTCTATTTGTTTGTGATCATAGACTATTTCTTTTAACCCAATGCTGCCAGGTGGTTTCCCGATGTGAAAGCCCTCTGTCCAGGGCTGTATTCATAGTAGCCTGGGCCCAGCTGCCAGGGGATTGTGTCGGGGCCATAGTGTGTGTGGCATGACTGTACATGCCCCCAGAAAACAGGACAGACACACCATAGCATGTATGCATATGCCACCCAGAATAGAGTCCAGGCATACCATGGCATGTATATACATGCCATTTGGTGACAAAGGGTTAAGATTCCAGTCTTTTCTCCTGGATTTGAGTTTAATTTTGCTTCCAATTAATGTTCTTAAATTTCACTTCACTCGAGTTCAAGATTTTGTGTTCATTTTGTTTAAGTAAATGTCTGAGTGAAAAGTTTGTTTTCTCAAATAATTTCAAGTAAGTTTATCTCTCTCTCTCTGTGCCACTACCTCTACCTTTTATTTGTGTCTCTGCCTGTGGTTGTGCTTCTCTCTGGTACCTCAACCTCAGCTTCTCTGTCTCTCCATCTCTAATTAATTTCTTGCATTAATGAAATTTATATGGTGTATTATGGTAAATTGCTAATGTTTCTCAACAAAGATATTGTACAGTGTTAGTAGTAAAGTATAACTAGCTTACCTAAGATAAATTTATTTACAGTGATAGGAGAAAGAGCATTGGAAGCTATTATTGCAAGGACTATAGAACAAGTTGTTCTTGTTCATTTACACCCAAGAACAGCAATCAATGTTACTATTCAAGAGATGCAGTCAGATGGACTTGTAAGTTTTTTTCTGTATTAGTAGAGAATATGTCATACATGTGTAAACAGCCTCCTTGGTATTTGGGAGAAAAGACATTATTTTCCACTATAGTAAATATATAAGTATGCGCCTGACAAAAGGGTGATATTAATATTTTTACATGTTCTGGTTAGGCTCTCTCAACAAGTGTGAATGCTGCTTGTATGGCTCTCATGGATGCAGCTATTCAGATGAATAACATCTTTGCTGCAGTCACATGCTGTATTACAGGAGATGACATCATAAAGATTGAACCCACAGAAGCTGAAATTAAGGTAATTTCTGCAGAGTATTAGAGATATGAAAAGTATTATTAAAAGTAAATGGAAGTTGTTATGTGTCAAACCATTTAATGACCAATTGATATTATAATTAATTTCTTTTATTTTTTAGTGTTATAATTTTGTTTGAAGGACAAAAGTAGCCTGGATAGTTTCCTATTAAAGTCACTGAGTATAGTATTACAACTGTTTATTATTTTTTAAGGGTATTTAAAGATAAGTCATGGTATTACTTTTCCTAGTTTTAGATATATGAAACAGTGACTAGTAATTGACATAAAAACATTAATAATCTGATGAAAAATATCTTCCTCGCTTTCCAGGAGAGTGTAGCAGTTGCCACATTTGTTTTTGAAGGCTTGGGTCTCAAGGTCTTGTCAGCCCATCAGGAAGGTCGCTTGAATGAAGAAACATTCCAGTCTTGCCTTAGTAAGTGTCAGATTGCAGCAAAAGATGTCTTCAATTTCTATAGACAAACCATGGAGAAAAAGTACAAGGATGACATATACTAATAAAAACACATGAAGTAATTATTATATTTTGCTTTATTCTTTTTACCTTTGTATATGGACATGTGTGATGTGGACAGATGCGAAAAAAGCTCTATTACTATCTTTTCCTTCATTTTGCTTGGAAATGATGTTTACCTTTTTTAACAAAAATAACAACTTGGATTGATATGATATATGCACAAATATTTTGAAACTGCTTTTCGTTTTCATATATTTTGCTTTCCTCACCAAGGGTCTGATTACATCTCTCAGTATTCACAAAAGCTATTACTGTGACTTTAAATAGTCTGTTCCTTGACATAATTTTTTGTATGAATTTAATATAGAATGTAGAAAATTGAAGGAATTGTCTTTAAGTTCTAAACTTTTGAAAATTTGTCATTCCAAAATGTCTTCAAACAGACTTCTCTAGGATTCTGAGAGGAACGTAAAGCAGGAAACAGGCCTGTAGTTAGTCAGACAACACTATCCTACTTGTTCAACTCATGTTATTAACCCATTGGTGCCGGGTATGACGTGTACGTACGTGCTATGCCCACCGTGAGTACTTGTTTGATTGTTTTTACGCATAGATGGCAACACTTGTACTAAATCACCAATGAGCCAACTACGAGCACCGCCCGTCTCGCCCGTTTCCCGTTTCTTTGATTTACGAAATATTTTACGTTATCTTATTTTGCTGTTACTAATGTTAAAAAAGATTATAAAAATTATAATGTTTCTGATAAAAATAACACCATCGATTTTCATACTACTAGTGAAAAATGCGTTTTTCCCTGCGATTTCAAATCAGGCTCTAGCAGAGCCATCTATTGGCAGACATTTCACGAAAAACATAGAAAGTGGGCACAGCATTTTCTCCATTTTTTTTTCATTTTCCCCCGCACCATTGGGTTAACTTGTTTATATGAAATTAATGAATATTATTTGGAAAGTTATTTTATTGATATTGATAATAGCAGAATCTTTGAATATGTGAATATCTGGAATATGCAAACATATGCAAGATCAGCCAAAAGGACTATATGAAAACTACAAGAATTCTTTTAGACTAAGTGGAAAGATCAAGGAGAATAAAATAGTGGAAAGCAGCATTGAGTGCAACTGGAATACCCTAAAAGGGGCAGTGTTGGAAAGTGCAAAGACTGAAATTGGATACGAAAAAGGTATGGCAGCAAAGAAGCTGTGGGTCTCTGAAGAAATGATAAGGAACATGGATGAAAGGAGAAAGTTGAAGAATATATCCACTGAGGAAGACAAAAGAAAGTATAAGCAGCTCGATAATTAATTGAGGCAGGAAAGTCAAAAGCAAGGGAAGAGGGGTCGAAAGAAATATGTGAAGATCTGGAAGAGTTAGACAGAAAGGGTAAATCAGATCTTTTGTAAGACAGCTAACATAACAAAATAGGGGAAGTAATGATGGAAATCCTATTAAGGATGAGAATGGAAACCTTTTGACAGACAAAGATGACCTCAAGAATCATTGGAAGCAATGCATTGAAGTATTATATGATGGTGAAAGGAAACCCTTGAATATTTTTGAAATAGAGAGAAAAAATGAGGTAGATGATGACTTTAAGGGTTCAGAGGTATCAGATAACAAAATTAAGGCAGCAATAAAGGATTTATAAAATAGAAAAACTGTAGGTGTGGATGATATACCAGTAGAGTTTTTGAAGAACTTGGGTGAGGAATGAACATCAGAGCTAGTTGATGTATGCAAGAGAATTTATGAAGAAGGTGTCGCCACCAGAATTCACAAAGGCATTCATAATACCTTTGTCAAAGAAAGTAATGCAGCTACATATGGGGAATACAGAACCATCAGCCTAATTATGCAAGTGTCAAAGATCTTACTTAGTGTACTGAATAAGAGCTAGAAGGCTAGTGATCACATCAGCAAAACACAGTTTGATTTTAAAAGATGTGGTACCAGAGATGTAATCGGAGTCATGCGTATACTCTGTGAAAAGGTATTAGACCATGGAAAGGAACTCTATATCTGCTTTGTGGACTATGAGAAAACTTTTGATAAGGGAGACTGGGCTAAGCTGCTGGATATTTTGAAGGACCTTGGAACAGATTGGCATGATAGAATACTGATGGGTGAATTGTATAGGAAGCAAATGGCAGTGGTCAGAGTTATGGATGAAGAATCAGGTACGTGCACAACAGGTAGAGGAATTCGACAAGGCTGTATACTCTCCCTCTCTTATTTTCAGTCTATGCAGAGAGAATGACGGCTGAAAGATTACATGACATCAATGAGGGAGGGAATATTGGGACTAGAATTATTAAAAGATGTAAGGTTTGCAAAATGATAAATGCATGGTTGCTGAAACTGAGAATGGATTATAGATAATAATAGATAGAGTAAATGAGTTATCACAGAAATATGCAATGAAGATCCATGTAAAGAAAACAAATATTATGGTTATGTCTATACAAGGTGGTTATGATATGAATATCACTCTAAATGGTAAAATAATAGAGCAATTTGTAAAGCTTTGTGATTCGGGAATATAGATAACTGATTGGAAATGTGATACAGAAATCAGAACAAGAATTGCAATACACATACACATACAATGTGTATGTGTATGTATATGTATATATATATATGTGTGTGTGTGTGTGTGTGTGTGTGTGTGTGTGTGTGTGTGTGTGTGTGTGTGTGTGAGTGAGTGAGTGAGTGAGTGAGTGAGTGAGTGAGTGAGTGTGTATGTGAGTGAGTGAGTGTGTGTGTGTGTGTGTGTGTGTGTGTGTGTGTGTGTGTGTGTGTGTGTGTGTGTGTGTGTGTGTGTGTGTGTGTGTGTGTGTGTGTGTGTGTGTTTATATATATGAATATATATATAAAATTATATATACACATATAATTTACATATTATAGATAGATAGATTGATAAATAGCCATATATATACATATACATATACATACATGCATACATTACACATATATATATATATATATATATATATATATATATATATATATATATATATATATATATATATATATGTATATGTATATGTATATGTATATATATGTATATATATGTATATATATGTATATATATATATATATATATATATATATATATATATATATATATATATATATATATATATATATATATATATATATATATATGGGATATGTATCTGGTAATGAGTAAGAGAGGTGTCGCGGTTAGATCAGTGATAATAAGTGCTGAAAATTGCGAGTGAGAAGTGATCAGTGAAAGTGCTACAAGATAGAACGATCCGTGAATATATAGAGCCTATATTGCAACCAAAATAGAAGTGATAACTCATCCAAATGTCTCATAACTCTATAAAATTCAATATCGGTCATGCATACGTGGATGTTTTAAACTTAAAGGGATGCCAGAAAGTGCCAACTAGGACTCCTAGGCCTCATCAACATGCTAAATAAGTTCATAAGGTCCCAATGCTCATCGAGAGTGCCACAGTAGATAGAATCAAGAAAAATAAAAATCACTTCCCACCAGGAAAAGAATACCAAATTACGATACCATTATTAAATGGCAAGCATCACCGGTCCCCATACCCACAGGACGCCGAGCAACTGCCAAATCGCACGGTTATTACAGTTCAGTATCCCCTCAAATAAATTCCCTACGGAAGAACCAAACCGCCAGTATGTAAGTACAGTGCATCACAAAATCAGGTAGGTCAAAACATAGTTACCTTAAAGCGCCAATATAATCAGCCACTCGACAGAAGTCCCACCAGATAAGCTATGCATTAACAAAGCGTGATTCAAGCGATGGCACCTCAATCGAGTGCCAGACGCTGACCCCGTGACCCGCGGCCGCGTCATCCTAAATCCTCCTCCCCCATTTTATGGACATTATAATGCATGGGCTCATTATAATGGAGTGCGTGTGTGCGCTCATGCAGACACTGTTCAAACGTTTGTGCCCGAGTATGAGTGTGTATACACGGTAATGCGCTGATGTATAAAAATTGTGTGTACGTATCTATGTTTCTTTGCACGAAAGAGAATCAATATATACGTAGATATGTGTATATGTGCGTATGTGCGTATGCATTCATATGAGTGTATTTATATTAATGCATATGTATGTGCAGGTGTATGTACATATATGTTTCTGTGGAGGTGCGTATTTATGTGCATAAGTAGAAGTGTTTGTGTAGGTATATGGATATATGTATGTACATATGTATGGGCAGTCATGTGTGTATGTACATATGTGTGTATGTTGGTGGATATATACATGTGTATGTATGTGGATATATGCATGTGTGTATATGTATATGTGTATATGTATGTATATGTGTGCATATATTTGTATATGTATATGAATGTATAGATATACATATATGTGTGTATGTGTATATGCACGTATGTATGTGTGTGTGCATGTATGTATATATATTGTATGGATATTCATAGTCATAGGTATGTATATAAGGTATGTGCCCATGAATACGCGTGCATAAGCGTGGGTGAGTACTTATATATGCGCATATGAAGAGCGCGTATGTTTATATATGTGTATGCATGCGCCAAAGTGTAGTGGTGCATAATGATATGATCCCTTGCATATCATATGCATAAGAGCATTGTAAAGGCGTACGCCTTCATGTGATTGTGCACGAAGTGACCACATGTGTAGTACTTAGGGCATTTGCGGGTGAGCAACTATGTCTGCACCGAGCACACATACGCACAAATAAAATCAGTGTATAAAATACAACCACACTTATACGCACTTCTGATACTCAAGCCCATGCTCACGGGAGTATACCCTGGTGTAATGAGCAGGCCCGTGTGTTACTGGTCATAAGTCCACACTAGACAGACCCAGCCTTGCTTAAGGGGCTTATCAGTGGCATCCCGGCTAAAATACTCCCCCTCCCACCAAGATACACTTAGGCCAGTAGGCGGGAGGTAACTCGGCTGTCTACCTCACAATCGAAACCCATGACTGCACAAACAGAGCTACGGCCCTCAGGATCGCTCCGGAGCAGAGGGT